TTCATGTGGAAGCAAGAGTGTAAATAGGATTTAAACCCAGATAAGGCTTGGGAATCATTGCCCGCTATTATCAAATCATCCACATAGATAAGAACATGCATATGAACGACATCCCGATGATAAGTAAATAAAGAATAGTCAGAGTGTGACCGGACAAAACCATAAGTGCGTAACGAAGTTGCCAATTTAGAGAACCAGCAACGAGGTGCTTGACGCAACCCATATAAAGATTTTGTCAGACGACAAACAAGACCAGGCTGTGAAGAATAGAAGCCAGGAGGAGGTTTCATGTAGACTTCCTCATCAAGATCACCATGGAGGAATGCATTATGGACGTCCATCTGGTGTAATTCCCAGTGCTTAGCGGAGGCTACGGCTAAGAAAACCCGAACCGTTACCATTTTGGCCACGGGAGCAAATGTCTCGGTATAATCGATACCTTCTTGTTGATGATTCCCAAATACAACAAGGCGGGCTTTGAGACGCTCAACTGTGCTATCTGAATTGTATTTAATTTTATAAACTCATTTACACCCAAGTGCCTTTTTACCAGAAGGGAGAAGCTGCACGGTCCATGTGTGATTATTTTCGAGAGCCTCAATTTCATTTTTCATGGCCTGACGCCATCCTGCGTGCGTCATTGCCTCGCGGAAGGTACGGGGTTCCTGACCCGCAAGCAAGGCTCCAAGGAAGGCCCGATGACGAGAGGAATATTTATCACAATTTATATAAGGTGCTATGGGATAGAGCGTACCTGAGGAACTGTTAGGCCAGGAGTGTAGCGAAGATGACATTGTAGTCCGGGCACAAATAGAACATTTTGAAGAGTAAGATAATCCGAGAGTATCACACGGCCCTCGACTATGGCATCAACCTGTCTACCATCCGGTAAATTAACCGGAAGAGCATTAATACGCACGGGGTTTTCAAGGCATTTGAGGTTACCCGTGACGTGATGTGATGCACCTGTATCAATAATCTAGTCAAGATGAATTGAATTCTTACCCGACATACGGTCACAAGAACGGGAATCATTGTTAATTAAATTCAAGAGGGCCTGGATTTGTTCCTTACTCAAGGCAGCCAACCCATTGGGTTCACTACCAGAAGAAGAACCCCCTGCCTCAGGAGCAGGTAAGGTTGCTGCCAGTGCATGAGTACGAACAGGTCCTGCCGTCCCTCGACCGTAACCTTCTTCACAGCCTGCTGCAGTTCGCCCCTTGGCCCGGGGTCGGTCTTCCCACCAGTCCGGGTATCCATGGAGCTTAAAGCACGTAGTCACCTCATGTCCCCTTTGCTTGTAGTGTGTACACATTGGTCGTGCACGATCTGCCCTTTCTTCACGACCTTTGACAGGCTGTTCTGTGTTGAGAGCGAAAGCCTGCACTTCAGTTGGGGCTGCGTTCTTCCCACGAATCACAGCCCTGGAGTTTTCGTCTTGCATGAAGGCTTGATGAGCCCGGTTAAGATCGGGTAAAGGGGTGTGAGATAAAAGATTGGAACGGACAGTCCCAAAAATTTCATCATCAATTCCCACAAGAAATTGATGTAATTTCTCTTCCTCGCGATCAGCCGCAAACTTCCCCACAACACCACACGTACACCGTCCACACGAGCACACATGTAAAGGCTTCAGCCTGTGTAACTCGTCGAACAACCCCATGAGTGCGGTATAATACATGTCTACTGTCATGCTCTTGCTCTGCCGACACTCCGTAATTGATGCGGGCAGCTGTTGTAGTCGGGGTCCGTTGGCAACGCTATAGCGCTTCTCCAAGTACAACCATAATTTTCGGGCATCTTCATGGAATGGTTTGGTCGCTACAATGTGCGGCTGCATACTCCTGAGTATCCAAGAAACTATCATGGAATTCACCGTCTCAAAATCAAGTTTCTTCGCAGCTTCAGTAGGTTCCGTCAGTGTGCCGTCGATGAAAACATTTTTCCGACGTGCCTTCAAAGATAGAGCAAAAGCTCGTGACCAAGCGACGTAATTGTCGCCTTTGAATATGACATGAGTAATAAGGTTTCCGGGTTGATATCCGGAACCCAAATAATATGGCGATGTTATGTCTCCCATGTCGCGAGGCCGATACACGCTGGTGGAGACCTACGAACGAGAAGACGACGACGATGGTGCGTAGAAGACCCTCACGGCTCTGATACCATATTGGGAAAGAATAAATTCAATTTTGGGTAAAAATATTCTCTTGTCTCTATTAACATAATACCGAGTATTTATACAAGTTTGTGTGTAAAGAATACAAAGAAACAGAGCCCTTCAGCCCAAACTAAATATGTACAGCCCGATCTAATACCTCCAATGATATTTGTTACTTCCTTTTGAACTGTCCAATAAAAAGCTGGCCATAATTCTCTAGTCTCTACAATATGTGAGTGATTTTCTTGGGACGGGAGGATACTGCTAGTTGATGATTAGGAATGACAGAGAGTAAGTGCTTAATTAGGATAAGTCTGCTATTTTGGGAGAACATTCTCTTCTTCCATAAGCTGAGTTTACATTCAAAATCCTCAATAATATTGCCACACTAAGAGAGTCTTGTTATGCCCCTATGAATAGCAGCACTGAGATATCTTATGGGAAGATGAAAAGATTTAATCTCAAGTATATTCCTTGTGCTTTCCTTTCTCCCCGCTCCCACGTATCCATTTGCCTAGCTACTCTAAATCCACTTTTACGAAGATTTGATCACTGAGCTGAGGCTGCTATATATGTATCTAGAGACCTTTTAAAGGCATGGAAAGAGTAAGAGGATCCATTCGGGAAAAGAAGCAAGTAGTCCGCAAAAGCCAAATGTGAAATGTTTGGAACACCTCTAGCAACTTGATAGGCTCCTACTTTATTTTGTGTTATAAATGTATTTAGATCTCTCAATAAAGTCTCATAAACCAATAGAAAGCAATAGGAAGAGAGGATTTCACCTTATTTAACTTCCCTTTCAGGCTTAAGGAAATAAAAAATCTGCCCGTTGATCAGAACAGAGAGATGGTGGATCTAAGGTAAGAAACTTTATGGTCAAACCCAAACTTTTTTAGTATGGCCTCCAAGAGATTCAATCAAAGACTTTGATCTTATCAAATTTGATGAAAAAATTGTTGCCTCTCGATAATTTTGATCCTGCATAACTTTTTAATTACCTATATATACCCCTGAACTCTCTTATTTTGAACACATCTTCATCATATCCACAAACGTATTTCGTTCCTCTTAATTGAGTTTTATGAAGAGTTTTCTAGGTCTTCAAAACTAGATTTTCGTAAAAAATTTGCTCATTTATGTGAAACCTAGTGTGATCTTATATAGGAGCCTAGCAAACACATAGGTTCTTACAACAGGTCGTGCATGTGAGCACATTATGCAGACTTCTAATTGGATTGAACCAATGATGAATTCAAATTATTTTTAAAGTATCATGTTTCTAATATGTGGGTCAACTTTAGTAATGGATGAAGTCTTCCATCAATCTAATAAGGCCCACATAGTAAACTGGATTGTCCAATTAAATCTCTAGTTCTTATATTGTTACATATAATTACAATCTACATTAGATCCGTGTCATTAATTATGTCTCCCTTTCACACCTTCTAGAGAGATATTTTGTTCAAATTAACTCACAACTTTATCGTCTCAAACCTTGTTAGAGTTTCAATCACTCGATTGTTTTGATACGAAAATATGAGCTGCAGTGTTCTAAATTAAACAAAGTCATGCTCAAATTTGAATGATAATTGCACCAAATCAATTCAGTACAAGATATATAATTTAGAAGATGGTAAACTTATTGTTGAAATTATAAAAGATATGAGAATAATAATAATAATAATAATAATAATAATAATAATAATAATAATAGATCCCCATTATATCTTTATTAAATATGAGATTATATATAATCTATAGACTACCAAGTCATATAACACATGGACAATCAAAATAATAGTAATTCTATTTGCACAAAAAACGAGTCCCATATTTGTCCACTTAAATCATATTTTATGTTTATTTAGTGTTATGATTTATATGTATATGCAATACTTATTGTGAATATACTGGTGTCATTGTCACTTAAATGTGAACAAAAAAAATTATTGAGCGCACACAAGATCATGATCAACGAGTTAGAAGTGAAGAAGACATCTCAAAGATTTGCCGTCAACAACGAGCTAAAAGGCTTCATTAATGTTGGCAAAAGGCATTTCATGGGTTATGAATTCGTCGCGCTTCACCACCCCTTCCATGCATTGTTTCACAAACTTAGACAAATGCAATCCTTCGCCCATGAAATAACTTCATTAGGTGGAATGACAACATACTTATAATCGAATGCACTTTACAACATTCTTTCTAAAGTAGGCATACTTATATGATAACAACGAATTAAGTGACAGATTGAAAATAGTAGAAAGACTTATTTGACACTTTTCTTTAAAACAAAATAACTAAAACCCTTAACATAACAAGCTTTAAGATAGCAAAACAAAGATAAAGAAGTTTAGCTTCTCATTTGGAGCTAAACATGAAAGAAATATAAAAAAAATACTTAATCTGAGCTGAAATTTATGATATGAAAGAATGAATATCCAAATGTAAAGGCAAACAAAATCCAAATGTAAAGGAAAAGAGATGTATTTATAGGTGTTTAAAGGGTGCAGGGTCGGATACTCGACCGAGTTTCTAGGATACCCGACCGGGTTAAGTAAAAAATCCGACCTGGTTTCGGTTGGCAGCTTCCTAATAGTTTCATATATAAGTTCTTACCCCACCGGATTTTGTTCCAATCCCCCGGGTTTCGTACCAGCACATATCTTCATGACTCTTTTTGCCTTATTTTGGTACCTAGCTATAATACTTGTCCACATCTCTTTACAACAAACATACACAAAAAGTACAAACTACACACAAGTAATGAAATCTAAAAATTAAACTCTATAATAAGTAGAATTAGTAAAAAAGACTAACAAACAATAATAAAATAACTAAATTATGCACAAGGAAATCGTGCATATCAGCACATCTGCACATGAATATGTGCGCACTACATTACAACAAGAATACTATTTTTACCTACGTGAAGAATGTTTTTCTTTTTTCTTTATGTTTCTCTCTATACATATATATATATATATATAAAGTACTTATTGTGGAAGTATATAAACTATAAAGGCGACACTTCCATTTGAATGTGGAGATTTTAAATTTCCGATTGCGTGGTGGATTGATTATATTATGAACAAGGTTAGAGGTGAAGAAGACATCTCAAAGATTTGCCATCAACAAGCAACTGGAAGGCTTCATTAATGTTGGCAAAAGGCATTTCATGGGTTATGAACTCGTCAAGCTTCACTTCCCCTTCCGTGCATCGTTTCACAAAGTTAGGGAGCTGCGACTTTCCCTTGAAATCACCGAACACAGACGCAACAATTCTTCGGCCATCAAATAACTCCATTGGATGGAATGGCAACATCCTTGGACTCGGATGGATGCCCAACATTATGGTCAATCCCCAACCCTGTAATATACATATAATATTTTTTTAAGATTCAAGTATATTGAGTTAGAGCCCATTTGGTGTGTCGTTTCCAGCTTATTAGTCCTACAAGTCAATTTTTTCACCAAATGTGTAACTTTTGATTCCACATGCTAAATTGTGTAACAATCAAAATAAATAAGATCAACATTACTTTTATGACTGAATTGAATGTGCTACTATAGATGACAATTCAAATTAATTAAGTAGTAATAATACTACTACCAATTTCAGTATTACTAAACACGCTCAATATCTTAAAACTTAATTAATTAAGCAGAAGAGGCGAAGATTGTTAGATCACTTACATCGACGGTGGACAAAAAAGCCTCCCTAAGAACATCCACATTTCCAGCACACTCAAAGCTATAATTCACCCCTCCTCCTGTCATTTCCCGAATTTCCTACACAAATTTCATACCCATATGTTGTTAAGCCAAAATAAGCAAAAAATATTGTGTACACACATGACGTCGTATATATACGGAGTATATGAGTACTTGAAGTAAAAAATTGAATGAGGAAATTCATGTTCAGTTAAAACACATTAACTGCACGAAAAAAATCATTTGAATATTCACAGGAAATTATCACAGTTTTATAGTTTTGGATTTTCTGGACAGCATAAATGTGAAAGTCTCTTTTTTATTTGGTTTGTTTGATTAAGATGTACTCCGTAATTTTTAATCATTAGTAGCAATCCTGCAATGTTGGCTAAAATAAAAACTACTCCATATTTTAACTGGAAATTTTCATGATCCGTGGCATATACCTTTCAATACACAATGAAGGAGCAGGGCAGATGGTGATAGTTGTTTGGGCTAATGAACTAATGATTGAAATTCTTGTAATGAGTATTAATTGTTAAAATCTGTAATGGGTTGCTTAACTTATTGTGAAGTATTAACGATATTTTGCTAAATTTGAAATTTTGAACATTAGAAATTATTTTGAATCTCGGGCTTCTCATTGTCTAAGTAAAAAAATGAAAATCGGAACCATGGGGTAGGCCAGATCGGGTGACTAACCAATGATTGGTTGATGATAACCATTTATTAGACTATGAGATTAACTTTAAGTACTATCCTCCTTTCTTTAATTCTTGCAACATTTTGACTTTCACGTTTGCCAACATACAACTTTGACTGTAATTATATTTAATTATGTATTAGTATACATTATAAAAAGTTGATATTTTGGAAATTCACATTGATAGGAATTCAATAACATTTTATACGAAATAATTTGATTATGTATATTAGTAGAAAATCGTGGTCAAAGTAAGATCTGTGAATAGTGCAAAAGTCACAATGTTGCAAGAATTAAAGAACGAAGGAAGCATGTTTTTACTTGGATTAATTTCAATTCCATACTAGATCAAACCAGACTTAAATACATCATACTAGATCAAATCAGACTTAACCAAATCAGACTTCTATAGTTATAAAATACACAGAGATCAGACAATTTTCAGACCATACTAGTTCAGACTAGACTTAAACAGATATCAATAAATTTGAATCCAAGTAAAACATCTAAGAAATCCTGCTTGCAAGAGTCGTGCCAATCGAGGGGTCTATAGTGTTTGACTTCACGGGTTCTAAACAAAATAACTTTGTGGTTGACTTTCCAAATATGATTGAGAAAATTACTACCTCCGTCCCTGAATTTACTTCCAAAATAAAGTGGCACGCGGATTACGAAAGTGGGAATTGTGTGGTGGAGAGTTGTGCAGAGGAGAGAGAAATGCTGAGAACCACAAATTCTTTGCCAAAAAGGGAAAGTGAAGTTGTTTTTGAGACGGACCAAAAGGGAAAGTTGGAAGTATTTTCAGGGACGGAGGGAGTAACTCGAAAGAGATAAAATGTGCAGTAATGTTTTACAACTACCAACAGGGAAATTAATTGTCCAAAATAGAAGTTACTCCGTAATAGTTGTAGAATTCACTGGGAAGATCCTCAATTAGGTTCGATCGAATGACTGTTCCTGTCAGACGGTTTGACAGCAACGCCACTCCAATATAAATTACCTGGTGAACGGGCTTATCTATTTCCTTTGGGTTTATAAAGTGTGTGATTCCAATAGCTTCACCTGCACAGAAAATACACAATATTATTTGTATGCTACTTCAAAGCAATACGGTAGTCTCTCCATATCATTTTATAAGATAGAATTTAATTTACGATCAAAAAAAAAAAGATAGAATTTAATTTCCTTTTTAGATTTTCACAAAAATGTGAACACTTATCTAAATTTAACATATTCACCTTTTTTCCTTTTATGGATAAATCATACTTTTTCTTACTTTTTGGAGATTAACATAGAAAAACTGCTACTTTTTACTTTATATTTAGAAATAATTACATAAATATTATCAAAATACAGATGATTTACAAAAATCTGATTAGTGACTAGAGTAGTAATGAAATCATAGTAATTCATGTTCGAGTTTTGAGCTTAAGTCACCACAACACCACATTGTAGTAATGAATAGTCATATTTATGTAAATATGTTTTATTTTAGTAATATTCTTGTAAAAAACTCTATCTAAAACAAAAGCAAGTGCTATCTTAGGACACGGAAAGTATTTACCTATTCAATTGTGATATTGTTGGTTTATTTTAATTAGTACTCCATAATATCCTTTCAAAAAAATAGTACTCCATAATATTATGTTTATTCCCCTTCTGTTTTTTTTACTTTTTTAGGAAGCGTCTACTTGTTCCAATTTTGTAGAAATAATCCCATAGGCCATGAAGTTGACAATAAGATAAACTTCTAGTAACCTTTCATGTATGTTTAGAAAACCGACCCGACCCGGCCGGGTTGACCCGGAACCCGGTGACCCGGACAAAAATCCGGTTCGGTTTCTTCAAAACCCGAAAATGGTCAAAAACCGGAAAAACCCGGCTGACCCGAAAAATCCGATCCGGACCCGACCCAAGAAACCCGAAAAACCCGGAAAACCCGGTTTTCGGTCTTTTCAAAAAAAAATAATTTCTTTTTTAATTTTAATGCATTTTTTTAACCAATAAAATTGCAATTTCAATTCCCTAAAAAGAAATTATATATTTATATATTTATTGTAATATATTTATATATTTATTTAAGAATGAAAAGCATGCCAAATTATAATATAAATGTACAATACAAATAAAAATATATAATGAGAGTGTATATAATTATATGTTTATTTATTATTATATAGACGTATAATCGTTGACCGGTTTTCCGGCTTTGACCGGGTTGACCCTCCAGGTCTGGGTTGACCCGTGACCCAGTCACATGACCGAGTCGCTCACCGGTCCGGTTTTTACAACATAGCCTTTCATAGGGATTCAAATAAGTGACCTTATAGAACTGTACCCTTTCTCTCTTTCAACTTTACTTAGATTTGAAGCATGGCAAGATGTGATGGTACCATGGATCGCAACCATGACTCAAAAAATCATTTTAAGATAAGTCCATCAACGAGATCAACTCATTATCGGGATTAATAATTAATAGTCACTGGGTCTAACTAGGATCCCAACCCACGAAAGGAACCCACAATCAGATCGGCCTAGACAACAGACCTCGAGTTTGGATGGAGTTCTAGCGACAAGGTCGGACTCATCCTAGGGCTTACGTGGCAGACTATCGTTTGAGCATAGCTATCTGGCAGCGGAAGGAAATAATGGAAGAAACGTGGACCTTAGGGAACAATGATTGCACAACGTTCGAGACGTTACATGACTCTTATTATAATTAATTGCATTAAATCTATCAGTTTCATTTTAAAATATTAGAACATAAGGTCTATAAATACTTCATGTAAACATCATATCAATAATCCGAATTTCAGAATAATATTACTGCGTTACGCTGCCTAAATTTCATCTGTTATCATAGTTGGATTTAAATTCCATCAAGATGTTGCTTCGTATTAATTTAGTCTCTCCGTTTGATTGCACATTGTCAAGTTTTTAATTTAATTTGTCCCAATTTTTTTTGTCATTTTATAAAGTAATAAATATGTGATTTTCCATATTTCCTCGTCCTCTGTCCTCTGCACAAATTTCAGCCACACATTTCAACAACACATTTGTGATAGAGGGATTACATCATTACCTTTGATGCGCTTATCAGAGTTAATGTCAACTGCGATAATCTTTGATGCTCCTCTAGCTCTTGCGCCTTCTACTACCTGCCTTTCCCATAATTCAAGATACATCAACCTCTTAATTGAAAATTATGATGGGGTTTCACTAACACAACATATAAGAAACATATTGTGGAGTGGTCCTTAGTTACGTGTGTAATGAAATTGTAGTTCAAAGTTAATGAAATTGTGTTACAAACTAATCAATTTATTTTAGTTACACAAAGTTACGTATCTATATATGTGTAATAAATATTCTCACATAGAAACTTACTATTTGCACAATATATATAGGATTGGACTCTAATAAAAACACATTTCAGAAATGAGAAGTTTCACATTTATATCTTCTTTTTTATACACATTATGATTAATCTAATACACTTTTTGTGATGAGACAAAAGTTCTGTTTAATTACCACCGCGTCTTGCATCATTTTTTTTATATTTGTGGTACTTTTAGACCACCGGATTTTAAATTCGATGCACCAAATGAATTTTCATTTCTTATAATAAATATTCTTCTCATTTGATCCCTATATACACTCTTCACTAAATTTTCTCAAATTTGAATGGACAAATATTTCAATATCAACCCATCTTTTTTTCACAGCCCCATAATTAAGACAATAGCATTAAGAAAACTAGGTACAATAAATTAGGGAAAATTACCCTAAATAGGACTAAACGAGTTTGTGTCTTCTAAAATAGGACCATCATGTTTTTATTCACCAAATATGAGTAATTATTGTCGTGTTTTGGCAGTACCAGAATTTAAACATGACAATATTTTTCAAGCTTGATAATAATTACTTCTATTTAGGAAATAAAAACATGACAGTCATATTTTGACATTCTGAAACGTTTTTACTTATATTTCAGGAATTTTACCAATCAATTACTCCATTATGCATGTTTCTCTATCTCCTGCACTGGTTATTTTTGTTTACAAACAATCAAACACTCAAACATCCTTGTGTTCTCTTTCATTTCATAATATTGTGGTTAAAGTCAAACACGAGAACCAAAAGTAGTTAAAGTCAAAGACGTGAACCAATTATGCAATTAATACGATGCTCATAGGACTAAGTGGAATGTATATGGGATTTAGTTGGAATAAGTACGTTACATTCAATTTAGTATTTGTTGTTTGTAATTGTATTCAATTTAAATAAATTCACGTTGTTACCAAATGAGGAATTTAGATTCAATGTAGATGGATTTCATAATTTAGATGGGATTTACTACTTCATGTTATTTTGGTAAATTAGATTTAGTAATTTAGTTTAATTTTAGTAATTTATATTCGATTTACCGGTTTAGATTGAATTTAGTAATTTGTTATTACGCGGACAAAAATAAGTTCCATCAAATATCTTAGTACAGGGAAATTGTGTCTCCAAAATATTATCTCAAACAGGATAAACAGGTTTATCCTTACTTTAATTTTAGTTTGTTTATGTAACACATGAGAATTTAACTTTAGTTCCTTCATGTAACGTATAATTATAAAATTCTCCAAAATAGTCTTTCAAATAGCTTCCGAAGAGGGATTAGAACAAAACGCAATAGGCCGTAAAGATAAAATTTTGTCACCAACACGATAAGAGTCTAAGGTAGTTGGGTCTAAAGTGAGACCGTTGTGACGTACTCCTCCCATGGCAATTTTTCCTTATGCTGAAACTTCTGAGTTTGAAATCCTTCAAAGAAATCTAGTTTGCAAACAATTCCTTAAATAAATTTTTATGCTAAGGTACAAAAACATATTCCTTTTAGATTCAAAATGAATCATTAACAACCATGTCGTGGATGCGTTGATCGTTCAGTACTAACCGTGTCTTTGAATACGCATCATGCGGAGCATGTGTGGTAAGATGCGACATTCGCATACACAAAATTGAAGTGCATCAATTGGCCTAAAGCTGAATACGAATATAATGATGAGCGATATCTGAGAGTGATCATGAAGTTACGCGAAACACGGTTCTTGGGCGTAGAGAACATTGGCTGCATGAAGTTGGACCACGCGTTAATAACAGTTTTGGTCGAGAGATGGAGGCCGGAGACTCATACTTTCCATCTTCCATTCGGTGAGGTTGGCATCAATCTACAAGATGTGGCAATCATAATTGGTTTTCCCATCGACGGTATGCCCCTTAGTGGTCAAACCATACACAGACAGGGTTAATGGATCCAGATGTGCATGGTCTCGACGGGTTTCAATCTTGTAGAGAGTGTTCTGCGCCCCTAGGATATCAAATTGACTAATGTTATATGTCACCCAGGCCTACCTCACAGTACCGAACTATATAGATGTCTAGATGTGACCCAACATGCTATGTTCTTAATATGGCAATGTCTCGACGGTCTTTTGTTCCCTAACCAAAGTGGGAACAAAATAAGATTGTATTTCTTAGAGCTCTTGCAGGGAGATTCGGCGACAACCCGTCGATGGAATTGGGGATCGACGATGCTCGGGTTCCTCTACCACAACTTGTGCAGGGGTGCCAAGTAGGAGCCAACCAAAATTGGAAGTTGATTGCAGCTGTTATAAATTTGGGCATGGTCGAGGATTTCAATGGTGGGTCTAATATTACTTCAGGTCACTCACCATGCAAATATTTCATATGGGTGTAGGTATATTTTCAAATTTAATATTAATAATTACAATGTTTTATAAAAATGCTTTATGTGGCATGTGGTTTTTAAACTTCATGTTGATCAACAGTAAATGTAGGTGGATTGACCCCATTCATTTTCGGATGCCCCAAGACACATTGTGCGCTTGTCTTGGGACGTCTTGGACCGCATGAGGATGTATCATTTACTACTTTGAATATCTACTTTAAATGTATTAGTCCATTTTATACGAATTGTTTTATACTTGTTAAATTGACATAAACTCTTATGGTTTGATCGGGAGCCCTATCAGTTGGAGACACTCTCACAGTACTCCGTTGATGACGTACATCTTGCTATGGACGGCTGAGGTGATGCTCATTTTTTTAATATGACCCAAAGGCATTACCTCGATCGATTTTTTGGTAGTTGTTGCAGAACAGGGCATTTCAAAAGACACTCTGCATGGTAAGGATCATCATGCTAGTGGCTCTGGCGATACGTCAGCTACGTTGATATTTTGGGCAGCGCAAGCCCAACATATATATGTGCTGCAGTTCCAACAAGTAGGGAGACCGAACGTGAGTGACATGTACTGGTAATGATACAGGCGGATTGGGATGAAACGTGTCAGTAACCTTTCTCACGTTGCACCCGTGAGACGTTTCATCCCAATCCGTGTGTACCATTGTTGGTACCGGTCACTCACTCTTGGTCCCCCTACTTGTTGGAACTGCGGCACATATTATATTGGGCTCAGGCCTCCCACAATGTCAAGGGAGCTGACGTATCGCCGAAGCGACAAGCGTGATGTCTCAAACAAGTAGGGGATCCGATCAAACTGTAAAATTTTAATGTCAATTTAACAAGTACTTCGTATAAGACAATTCGTACAAAGTAGAAAATGACCCTCCCTCATGTGGTCTAGAACGACCCGATAAAAGTGCACGACATGCCTTGGGGCATCTCAAAATGAATGGGGGACGATCCACCTACATTTATTTTTGGCCAACATGAAGTTTAAAAAAATTACTTTTACAAAACATTGTAAATGCTAATATTTAATTGAAAACATACCTACACCCATATGGAAGATTTACACGGTGACCTGAAGTAACTTCGGACGCACCGTTGAAACCTTTGACCAAGCCCAAATTTGTAACACTGGCAAAATACCACCAATTTTGGCGGGATCCCACTTGGCACCCTTTCATAACTTGTGGTAGAGGAACCCGAGCACCGCCGATCCCCAACTCCATCAATGGGCTGCTGCGAAGCCCCCCTGCAAGAGCTTTAAGAAATGCAATCTTATTCAGTTCTCACTTGTGTTGGGGAACAAAAGACCTCCGAGCAACTGTAATATTAAGACCCTGGCATTTTGGGTTACCTCTAGTTCGGTGTTGTGAGGTAGGATTGAGCGACGGATACCATTAATCAATTTGATATCCCCAGGGTTACAAATCACTCTCTACAAGAATGAAACCAGCTGAGACCGTGCACATCTCAATCCACAGAGCCTGTCAGTGTATTGTTTCACCAATGAGGGGCAGACCGTCGATGGAAAAATCCATTATGATCACCACATCTTGTAGACTGATGCCGACCTCACTGAATGGAAGATGGAAAGTACGAGTCTCCGGCTTTCAACTTTCCACGAAAGCTGTTATTAAAGCTTGATCCACCCTCATGCGACCAATGTTCTCTACGCCTAAGAACCATGTTTCGCGTAACTTCATGATCACTCTCGGATCTCACTTATCATTGTATTCGTATGCAGCTGTAGGTCAATTGATGCACTTCAATTTTGTGTATCCGAATGCCGCATCATATCACACATGCTTTGCACGATGTGAATGCAAAGACATGATCAGTACTAAACGATTAACAGGTCCAGAGCACAGTTGTGATTGGTCCATTTTGAATCTAAAAGAAATACTTCGTATGATAGTATATAATTTTGAATCTGACCTATTACGTCGTGTTCTAGTCCATCTTCAGAAGTGGTTTGAGAGACTATTTTGGAGAACTTTATTATTTTCATTACGCGTAGTAATTAAGGATAACTTCTCATGTGTTACATTAACAAACTAAAATTAACATAAGGATTAAGTTGGAATAATATTAGTAGCGTACGTTTGGATGTACGTATTTAATAAGTACCCCTACAGGATGAGTTGATCTTCCGTAATTCGTATGAAATGACAAACGGCATATGCGTGAACACATGGCATGTCGTTTTGCTTCCCATAGCCACAGTCACATTCCTGATACGAAAGATTTACCGTTACGAGTTCATGTACACGTGTGGCTACAAACTAAATCTCTGTTGTATGGTTCTGCGGAATAACAGTAGTGTGATGCCTACGATGGACCGTTCCAGAACCTCATTCAATATGTTATGTGGATATAAGAATCCAACTTGCTGCCACATTAGTCCAGCTGTCCGTCAATCTGCAAATAGTTGGACAACTTTATCGAATGTCGCGGTAAAACCTCCAGATAGGCAATGTGCGACATCTCTTTAACACATTGTTAACACTACCATAAAGGTTTCTCATCAGTATGTCATAACATCGTCCATCATCATAGCTTAGGGCCCACCCTTCAGGTGAAATGTTGCTCAACTATGCAAAAACACTCTCTTATATGCCTCTTATTTGCTGCAAACATTCATGAAATTCTCGCACAAACGGGGTGCTACCGGCTTGCCAACACAACTTTTTGAACTCCGCATTCCTAAATTTTATCATCAAATTGCTCTGTATGTGACAGAGGCAATAACGCATAGAAAATTGTGACGATTGTAATTCTGGAACATTTCTAAACGCACTTTCAATTCTAACATAGCGATCAGAGATATACACACTATGTGGTGACTTCGGATCACACCTGACATAACTCTTTGAAAGAATCACGAGCAACCACTAGCATCCTCACTCTCCACAACACCATACGGGAGAGGGAATATCTCACGATTAGTGTTCATGGCAACCGAAACTAAGAGAACACCATGGTATTTTCCGTACAAGTGAGTGTCGTTAATCGAGACTACATGTAAACAATAACGGAAACCGTCAATAGAAGCTTTGAATGGCCGCAAAGCTCGACAGAATTCGTACGTCCCGAGATTGTCAATTAGTTGTGTTTGGATTTGAACAAGACTCACCGGATTTGAAAGTCTTATTGCTTCCAACAACTTAGGGGCTTCATTATATGACATATATATCCCAATTGTGGAATTTACGCTCGAGAATGATCAAGCGTCCATATATAAAAGTCTTCTTTTAGTGCATCATATGAACCATATTTTCATGTCACTCCAATCTTTTGTGGCTCACAATATACAATCTCAATATATGGTTCGTCTAGCTCTAATAGTTAGGTATAAAACTGGGTGAAGGAGAGAACACATATTTAAAGTTTAATTGGAATGATGTTTTCCGAATATTGTATTGCCAATTAAAGTTTGTCGGGGTTTGTTGGAGGTTTATGGTTGGACTGATTTTTTTTTTTTTTTTGCAGAAAAGTTGGAGGTTTATGGTTGGACTGATTTATGACTTGAATTTTTCCATCTTTTTTTCAGCCTTCAGCTAGTTGAAATCAACCTTTACTATCAATTTTTTTTTTTGTCAAAATAGCCCATTTGGATTTGGCTATTCTGACCAAAGGATTTTGTTTTTCAAAATCGCCTAGTTGGAATTGGCTATTCCAACCAAAAGATTTTTTTCAAATTTTTTCACAACCCTATTTCGAATGAATCGTTTCGAATGCCATATTTTCGTACGTACGCCAAATGGAATTCTAGTTTTTTTCCATGTGAGGCTCAAAACAACCGTGTTTTTGTCATTTCCTCAATCTGCCCTTTTGTTTGTACCCTAAACCAAAATCCCGTCTTTTTTGCACGAGAGTTTTAAAACTCCCGTATATTTTATATTCCTCCAAATTACTTTTAAAAATTACTCAATTCGCCTCATAATGCAATTTTTCTCGATGATAAAGGATAAATGGAGTAATATGTACTTATTGCCGCTAGTAACTTTTTTTTTTACTCCAAGGGATCTGGGGAAGGTGGTTGGGGGGCATGGAGTAATCATTCACCTCATAATGCAATTTTTCTTGATGATAAAACATAAATGGAATAATATGTACTTATTGCCGCTAGTAATTTTCTTTTTTTTACTCAAGGGGGTTTGGGGGGTGTTGGGGGGCCTGGAGTAATAGAGTTGAAACTCATTCTATTGAGTTTCGAACTCGAGACCTCTCGTATGTGAGAGTGTGTCGGCGACCAGCTAGGCTGAACCGCTTCCTCTTGCCGCTAGTAAAAAAGTATGGAGTAACAAATATCATTACCGCTAACCCTACTGCTCCCATGCCAAAGACCGCTACTGTTTCGCCAGCTTGAACGTCGGCTGTATTCCATACAGCTCCAACTCCTGCATGATCATAATCAATTTTTATTTAGCCCAAAAAGAATTAGTGCCTCTAGAAACGTGAGTAAATCAAAAGTACACAGTAAAATACACAAGAAGAAGAATTACTTTGACTTAAAAGATACGATAGTACGTAGTACTCCGTATTAAAAAACTTCAAACTCCCTGAAGTTTAAATCATTTCCACAAAAAGCCTTTTAAAGAGAAAAACATTACACCGTACATAATTCACCCTGCCTTTTATATACGTATTATTACTTCGTATATCCAAGTATCTTACCAAATCAACAAAAGTTACCCAGACCGAGAAAGAGTTAATTCTTCTGTAATATTTAAATTAGTGTTAAATACTAAAATTCTATTAAATACGAAGTAGTAAAAAATCAAGAATCTATGGAAGTTTATCCTAGTCTAAGAGATGTTGACATTTAACAAACATCATTAGATCAAATACTATAATTGAATAGTGATCACATAAAAAACTATTTCAAAATATTTCAATTTGAAACACTAATCATCATCATTACCCCAGTGCTGCAAAGGCTTCCACCTACGGCGGGATAAGGGGGGTCAGATGTACGCAGTCTTACCCCTGTACTAAAGCACAAAGAGACTGTTTCTGAATTACCCATAGTGAAAAACACGTCGAAAATTGCATAGACTGGCTGTTACTTCATAAAAAAGAAGTGCAGACAGTTTAGTGAGTCATTTTGCTTTATTCCATCATATCCCCGAGCCAAAAAAAAGTGAGTCTTTGGTTCCATTGAAAATGATGGAAAGAAATTTGAAACACTAATATAGAGAACAAATTTAAAGAAATTGATTAACATGTGATTAAAACATAGACAAAGTCACAAACATAACTACTTACTAATTTAATTTGTTTGTTTTTATTTAGCCGTCTTTGACATTTTCAGTCAAATATGATGCATTTTGATCCATTATTATACCTAATATATTTATTTGAAATTGAATAAATTTATACTTTTATGATAGTATTTTTTAACTAAGTTCATATTATTTTCATATTACCACTACTATCGTGTATAAGTATATAATTGATCAAAGTTTGATAGCATTAACTCTAAAAGTCATACTCCCTCCGTAACTTAAAAATCTTCCCACTTTCCTTTTTCGTCCGTAACAAAAAAATCTTCTCATTTCTAAATCTTCCCATCATACCCTCAATAATTCTTAAAATAATACACTATTACAACTACTTTTTTTGGATTTATCCTACATTCCACCACATTATTCTACTATTTTCCCATCATATCCTCAATAATTCATATCATCTTTCACTATTCTTAATCTACCTACTTTTGAAATGGGAAGATATTAAAGTTACGGAGGGAGTATTTGGCTAATTTAAAAACGACATGTGGTCTATGTTTTATTCTCAAAATAGAATTTATATACTCTTAATTGAAGAATAAAAACATTTAAAATCTTCTTTTAGAGGTGAATGGGCCGGGTCCTATTTAGAAAAGAGAAAAAGACATGAATAAGACTAAAACTTGTGGAGGGAAGCTAAATAGGACCTAGAACTTTCTAACTCACGTCTAGGACTAATTTTAATAAAAGGACAAAAACACCCTTATCCGTATATATGCTTTCTGCGAGACAAAGTGTCCTGGCAACGACGGAACTTCAACGTCACCGGCAACGACCATAGCCTTTGGTGACCAGGTTTATAAACTGAATAATCTCTCTCAGTGGTCAGAGGTACCTGTTGCATTCACTACCATTGGTTATCGCCGGAGTGATCGCCGACACGAGTGATTTAGCCGCCGGCGAGTTTCTTCTTTTTCCTATCCGCTGGAATATTGAGAAGATGGCGTCGATTGACGCACACCTGCAAAGTCTCCGAGGATGACAAACTCGTTGAGTACGATGCGCTCTTGCTCGATCGGTTTCTCTATTCTGCAGGATTTGCACGGAGAAGACATTCGTGATATGTGCGATGTTTTTCTCTTTTGCTAGAACCCTTGTCTTTGTTTTGCACAACGCCAAAATTAGATTAGTAAGCCTTAATTTGAATTGTGAACCTTTATTGATTTTGTAATTTCAGCTATTTGAATTTAGCATCTGATAACAAATCTATGTCATTAACAGGTTTTAGAATTTGAATTGAAAATTAAATTTAAATTCTTCAATAATTCAATTAATGCATTTAAACTTTCAATATACTATATATCCCAAAGAGTAATACTCTTTAGTGTTTACCGTGCACTCCAAAATCTTCAATTTTGTTCAAATGGGGTTAGTTTGGTATTCTATTTTGTTTTTATTTCACGCAATGATATTAATTGTCCAACAATGACACCATTACATTGTCATCATATAATGTCATTGTATATTACATTGTCGTAGAACGATTTTGCACAACATCGTCAAAATGTGTTCTTCTATAAACCAATGTCATTTTTATGTTATTGTCATCATTTTTAACAATGGTTGTTTTTATGTCATTGACATTGTTACGCCAGTCATTGACTTTGATATTGACATTGTCTTTGATACAATGTCATTTTTATAGCATTGGAATTGTCATTGTCATTTTTACAATGTCATGTTTGTAACATTGACATTTTCATTATTTGACATTGTGATAATTTTCTGACATTTTGACAGATTCTGACATTGTAAATTTTTACAATGATATGACATTGTCACATATTTCAATGTCATCATAAAAATACAATGTTACTTCTCGACAATGTATCGATGTCATTTTTATAGCATTGAAATGACATTGTCATTATTATAATGTCATTTTTTAAATCATTCACATTGTCATTTTTACAATGTCATTTTTTCAAAGCGTCGGTGTTGACATTGTCGTGGTCATTATTTGACATTGTTTCATTTTTCTAGTATTATACTATGTCTGTACTATGTAATACATTATCAACAATGTTTTTTTTACAAAAGCAGTATTTGTTTTCATAGTATTGCCATTTTTGAAAAAATGGTACTCTGTATTTCTTATAGCATGGATTTTGTCAATGAAGCCATATCGTAGTAGAACTTGCCTCAACCTCCTAATAACAAAAATGGGATACATTAAAACGGAACTTAATTCACCAAATCAAGGTAAATGAGCTTGTTCAATTTGTGCCGATATAAAAACTAAATAGAAAGGCTAAGACCGTTATTTGTAACTAAATAATTCCATAGTAACTATTTAAGAAGCAAAACAAAATGAATTGAATCGTAGTCAAACAAAATGAAGAAGATCACGTAAGAAAAGAAGACAGAAAAAGAACGGCCAAAATTTTCACCTAATTAGTTACATCAAGTTTATTTAGCTCCTATTTGGCACCATTTTTCTTTAGAAAAACAATAATGGTTCTATTTGAGAAAATGTATTACTATCTCCGTTTCAAAAATCAATGACACACTTTGACTTTACAAAGATTGAAGAAATAATTTTACTAAGGGATAAATTTTATTGTAGAGTACACTATTTTGACACTGTTTTGTACTGTACTACTCAATATAGATTTGTTTACCGAAATTGAGTGACTCTCAAATACCAGGTATATGATTACATTCAATTTGAGGTTCAAATTCCGAACGAGTCAATATTAATAGTTTATGATAGATATCATTTTTATATTTACTTGACTTGTCTTCGTCACCATTGTGAATGCATTTATAGTCCCTTTATGCAGTTATGCAGAAGCTTTCTCCATCTGACTTTCAAACACGTTTGGAATTGAATTGAATGAATTGAATGCTACTCCGGGAATTATGAATTGTTTATTGGCTTTATTCTTTCAAGTCTTATCTTATTTCAAGAACACGGATTAAAACCGTTTTCTATTTCAAGAAATGGACAGTAGGTCCAGCGTACGTAATATGTTAAGGGGTTTAAAGAATTAAAGTTACAATATTAATTACAGAAAATCTCAAAATAGGAATTAACGTGGGTTGAAGTCCCACATCGTTAAATTAATACAGTAAGTAATAAAGTTTTACTTCAATATATTGATATCAAGTATCTAACCAAATACAGTAGATCTTCCTATTAAGTTGTCATAGTATCAAAGTCAAAATTATCCATAACTGCAGTATTGTCCATATGAAAAATGACGACATGATTATGAAAAAAGACAATGACGGGAAAATGAAAAAGTTATTAATGTTACGATCCAGACGAAATATCTGGTCGTGAGAAGGTATATTGAAGTCTCACACAGGTAAATTAAGAAGTAAAGGTACTCCTATCCGATTGACATTTTAGAATGGAACATGAAGTCTTAAAATATGGGGGTGTTTGGATCTGATTCTTAAAACTGCTTCCACTGCTTCAAAGAGCAGAAGCAGCAGCTGGAGTATTTGGGTGAAAGTGCAGAAGTGATTCTGGTGCTTTAATTTACTCCTAAAATCAGTTTTTAGAAGTTGGGGGTGACCAGCTTCTGGAAAACTGATTCTGATTCCGCTTATGCTTTAAAAAAGAAGCAGAAGCAGAATCAGTTCCAAACACCCCTATAATACCCAATAACCCTTAGTTTTCCTTCATTTTCAATTTCTCTTACATAGTTTTTGCTACTTCTTATACTACCTCCGTCCCATATTTATCTTCATAGTTCGGTTTACGATGCTTGACTGACGATAAAGCAACTCGATCCCTGTTCACACTCGGATTATTTTTAGAAAATAAAATTTACATATTCAGAAACTACATTAAAACCGCTACAAAACCTGATCAAGAAAATTTAAATTAGATAAAAATTTGATAGATAAAGTAAAAGATTAAGAGTAATTTGAATTGACCATGTGAATAGTAACTATGAAGATAATTTTGGGACGGAGGGAGTACTTTCTTTACACTGTTCACTGCCATATCATAAATAGTGTCTCATCTAAAATATCTAACCCACAACCCCAAAAAGTGAAAATAATTTTAAAATGTGTTTAGGTGATCGAAACTAATAAGGGTCCAACGTAACTTATTCTAGCTCTCCTTCCCATTTCAAAGTTTCTTCTTGTAACTATTATTATTTCTAAATGTATGTCAAAAGTTAGTGAAATAATGACGGATATATGACTAGCTAGAATAAAAGTTGCAGACATAAATGTGACTAGGAGAGTATGTTAGGTGTAATTTTAGTCACATTTTTATTCATAATATATCCTATTTTAATAATATGCAAGGAGAAAAGGTTTCAAATTTACCTGAAGAGACACCGCAGCTGAGCAAAGTCATGTTTTTGAGGGGAGCGATGGGGTCAATCTTGGCAACGCAAGCAGAATTGATGACAGTGTATTGAGAAAAGGTGGAGGTGTTGAGGAAATGGTAGATTGGTTTGCCGTCTTTGGTGGAGAACCTGCATTTCCCGTCTCCGACCATCACGCTTCGGCCGGGATCCACCCTGAATTTCTCGCAGAGGTTGGTTTTGGTGGACTCACAGTACTTACAGCTGCCGCATTCGCCGTTGAACACCGCCACCACCTTGTCTCCGGCTTTCAAGTCCCTCACACCTTCTCCCACGCTCTCTACCACACTGCATATGTAGTAGAATGATTATCATGAAGTGATTTCTTCATTTATTCAAATTAAATGTAAACTTTGACAATTACATCAAGGTAAAAGTTAAATTTTACCAATGCCAAATTTATTTTTAAGAGTGAAATTAATTGATATTGATATTGCATTTGATCTTTTGAACTACATAAATTTGGGGTCTTAGTGTTAATTGAGTAGACTTGTTAGATTCACACGTTAATACAACTGAGTTGGCTAACGAAATGTTGAGTAAGAATGGGTAGTGGACCAAGGTTATGGTGCCGACCTTCACGAAGTCGGCCAAAAAGGGAAAATCGACCTTCGGAGGTCGACCTGCAGGGGGCGTCGGCCAACAGGGGTGCATTGACCAAGGAGAAGTCGACATGCGGGAGATTGACGTCGACCAAGGGAGAGTCGATCAAGTGGCTGGGGGATGGTGTCGACCTTCAAGAAATCGACTTATTAGCATTCTGTTAGCCAATCCTAACGGGTGTACTCAATTAACACTAAAAACTCAAATTTGTGTATTCAAAAAGATCAAATGCAATATAATGTACTCTTCACTCCATTTCATACAAGTTAATGTACTCAATTGACTTTTACCTCGTTTTAAATGTGAGAAATTAAGTTTATGCTATGTATAAATACAGAGTACACAGATTTTGCTTCACGTGAGAAATTCATAATAATGAACCTCACTTGTTAGTTTGGATTTGTTGGACTAAACATGACAAAATTGTATGGCACTTAGATTTGTATTTGACGATATTGCAGTATTGCACTAAAACATATTCATTTTGCACTAGAAATTTGAAGATGTTTTTCTAAAATAGTTTCATATTGCACCGGAGATATGCAATATTAAGAAAATACCATCATCCAATGTTCTATCTTTGGTGCACTATGAAGTATGAACTTATGAAGGAAGTACTTTATTGCAACGTAATCGAATCTAAAGTACGACTAAGATTTATTTCCATTTCTATATAAATAATAGTGACTCATTTCTTAGATGCGTAATTAACAATATGAACCTACCCGGACGCTTCATGTCCCAGGATACGCGGGAAAACATTGCGAGCTTCATTCTGCACACAGCACACATGCAAATTAAAACTCAGATTGTATGATATACGGAGTACTATCTGTCGTATTTATGTTTTTTTTTAATCCCGGGAAAACCCACGCTCGGAGGGGTAGGTGCCGGGGAAAACTTCTCAATTTTATTAAGAACGATGTTTGTAAGCAAAATAAAAGAGAACTATAATTATTATACACATAAAAGAAGTTGGATGTGTGTTTGGTAAGGATGCAATTAGGAAGATCATGCCCGCTGTGCGTGCGTACGTAATTTTTTTGGTAGATTCTATGGTACCTCAAATGTACCGTACCTTTGTCCAAATGGACCAATAAGAATGATGCAGTTGAATTATTTAAATCTAAATTAAAAAGTATATAATGATTTGGACCAATCAAATGCATGATAGGTACGGTACCCCATTTTTTAAATGGGTACCGGAGTTGTCACCTTTTTTTTTAGACTATTCCATTTTTAAGTAAGTTGAATTTTACAATGTTTACACGTTCTGTTCCGATTGAATTTCTTCTATATGTTATTTTTTTAAAATATGGTTAAATTGGTCTCACAATAAATTTTAAAGTTGTTAATGGTCAAAGTTGGTGATCATCAAACCCTTTTTGGACTTAAATGAATCTAATTAATGGTCTATTTTTTGGTTCACCTAAAATATGTTTACACGGATGTTTGTTTTCTAGCGTTTTCCACCTAAAACGCTGGTAGTACTCAACGTTTTCCCTTATTAAAAATTGGTGTTTCCATCCAACATGCCGAGAACAAAAATAGAGTTTATACTCATTTTTTCACCACCATATTTTTTTTGTAGATGAATTCATCACAAAAATAGAGATATTCATGGACCATGGTAATGTTACTTCCTTAAATTGGTCTCTCCTAAATTTTTACATTTTCACGTTATCCCTTTATCTATCATTTCACTTTTCATTTTTGATGGAACTGTTTTTTCTCTTTGTTTCATTCGAGGTTAGAATTGTGAATAATTTAAGAGCAACATAGAGTACAATTTTATTTTTATTTTCTTAAAATTCACACCAACCTCACGTACATCTTAAAATTATGGGACGGAGATAACAATATTTTTAATGATCTAATGTTAAACTAAAAATTACGGAGTAAATAGTACGTAGTACGGAGTAATATAGTACCTCCCCTTTCAAGGCACTGAGATCTGTATGGCAGATAGAAGTGTAAAGGATCTTGACTCGGACCTCCGATTTCTGAGGCGGCGCCACCAGTACGTCCTCCACAACTAGCGCCTGCCCGGGACCATAAGCCACCGCAGCTGCAGTTCTTTGCCGGAGGAGTCAGATAAATAAATTTAAAAAGGGACACAAATAAAAGAATATATATGCAAGTACAAATACTTCGTAAGGTGTATAATAAATTTAAAGTCACATAAGAAGAAACATATTCGCCCGCCCGCCCGGTTTAATCATAACGAGCTTCGAAGCAAGGCACGTGCAGTGGAGGCATGCATTAAATATTGAAATATTAACCGGCGGCACGGATAGTTCAGTTGGTTCAGTGGTTGGAAAATTGGAGAATGACTAAGGTTCGAAAATCACAGCGATCGTATGGAGGTCACAGAACCTGAAATAAGGTTGGGCGTCATTGGACCGACTGATTCACCATGACTAACCTCCATCTCCGTCATTCTATCGGGTCGGGGTGGGCCGGGGCTCCTAGGAGATTCTACCTTTTGGAGAATAAATATTGAAATATTAAGAAGTTGTGATTGATTAATGGTGGTTACCGACAACCTTTGCAAGTTATGACCTTGCCTGCAGTGTCCTCTGTATTGGAGGAGCAGCCATTAATGGCGGAATTGAAGATAGTTTCAGAACCCATCTCTGCCATTGTATGTGCGTAGAAGAGTGTGAAGATATATTGCAAGGCGACAAAAGCTTATTTATAGCGGTGGAAATGGGGCCTTGCCGGTCACACATAGGGCTGGTTCGGTATGGCATACCGAAATTTTCACGCCATACCGCTTACCGTACCGAAATACCGGTATTTGTAAAAGTCATACCGTTACCATACCGAATATTTCGGTATACCGAATTTCGGTATACCGAAATTTCGGTACGGTATGTGACCCATACCGTTTTATACCGAAAATTCACAACACTAAACTTGTAAGATGATTCCGTAGAAAGCATTGGCATAAAAGGCCTACCGAACATCCAAAAAATCTGATTTTAATATGTCAAAAGTAGTATACGACATCAATTACATAAGCTTATACAAAAACTAAAACACAATATTTAATCCAAAGTAGAAATACTAAAATTATGCGCTAATATTTCAAGTCTCAACACGATCCATAATGAAAATTAGAAAAGTTATCCCACATAAATCAATGATAATTAATGTTTGTATTAACAAATCATTGAACGCTTGTTGCAGCTCCAAAAGATAAGTAGGCTAAAACTTCACTCCCCCATTCCTCCTTCATTCCTGAAATGAAAATAAATCAGTTCCGTATAAGTTAGATGCTTGCATCTTAAGTTCTTAACACTGAAGTAAACAAGACAGTGAAAATAACGCATATGTATTACTGCTTTGCCATTAACAGTCGGTAACAGTTGGACAATTGTGTAAGGAACAAGTAACAATAAATAACATAATTTATATTAATAACAACATTCAATAGTCTGTATAAGTCATGGGCTCATCACATGACTAGCAGCTAATAGAAAATCAAGACCACGGAGTGTTCCAATATAAGTCATGGGCTCATCACATTCATACATTGGAACTTCAGCTGGGGAATTCTCTTTTCCTGAACTGCCCTCTTTGAATGAGTCTGTAAACAAGCCAGTAGAGGGAAACAAAGTAAAATTTTTGACAGTTGATTAAAACATTAAGGGAGAAAAAGAATGTGATGTCATACCAAGATAAGAAGGCTAGAATCACTCACAATAATCACTGCATATCAGTCATGACCAGAAGTTAATCAAAGAAAAACAATACAAGATGACAATAGAAGCGTACTGTGTTGTCTTAAGCTCTATCCCAGTGTATTTGAGGGCATGACCAGTGCTAAATAGCATTTGCAGCTGCAAAAATAAGCATACAAAAACCATAAGATAAACAAAATAATAATTTATGTATACATTTAATTAAATAAGGACTTACATTTTTCCATTTCTTCAATTTGTTTATACAACTCAAGGTCTTCATCACTTGGATCTTTATAAAAGTTGAACTCCTCCGCTCTTAACCAATCATTAGTGCACACTAATGCCTCCACCATTTTGGGACTCAAACAACTTCTAAAAGGATCCACAACTCTTTTCCCCAAACTAAATGCGGACTCACTAGCAACCGTTGAACTTGGAATAGCAAAGATATCCTTGGCAATAGTTGAAAGAATTGGGTACCTAGTTTCACTCCCTTTCCACCATTCCAAGAGATTGAAGGATGGATTAGATCTTTTTTCAATCTCATCACTTAGATACTTTTCAACCTCATTTGATATCTCTTGAAGTTGCTCTTCTTCATTTTGCGCCTCCACATCATTGAACAACTCATCCCAAAGGCCATCACCTCCACCACTCTCTCCATCATCCACTTGCACTTGCATGCTTTGTCTCTCTTCATTCAAGGTTTCACTCATGCCTTTGTATTCCACCCACAAAGCTACCAAATATTTTTTAAGTTTCTCAATGAATTCTTGGACCTTTGTGGGATCACTTTGAATCTTTTTAATGCTCACTTTAATCATTTGGAATTTGTTCCGGGGATCCAAAACATTGCTAATGAAAACCAAAGGATTCATATCATCCCAATCCCCCCAATATTTAGCAAATTTTAACTTCATTGCACTAGCCACCTTGCTTAGAATTGGGTCGGACTTATCACTCACCTTTTTTTCAATCTCAATTTGGAGGGCAATCATTGATTGATAGATCAATTGAGAGGTAGGCGTTTTTGTGGCACTCAACTCTAATGTAGCATCATAAAACTTTTTCAAAAAGTGCACAAAAGCCCGTGCATTCTCCCAATCATTTTCAATTGGTGGTCCTACCCTTACTTCACCCTTTTTATTCTTCTCATTAAAATAACTCACAAAAGGACACCACTCTTCGGTCATCCTTTCAAACACCCTCCTATATTTCAAAGCAACATCGAGCATCTTATAAGTTGCATTCCACCTTGTTTTGACATCCATTGGCACGGTTGACATATTAGAAAACTTGGCTAGCACGGCAAACTCCCTAAACTTACTCAATCTAGCCGGTGAAGAATGAAGAAACAAGACCGCATTCTCTATAGCTTTAATCGAAGACTTAAGTTCCTTCAACCCATCCTTAACAATTAAGTTAAGGATGTGACATGCACACCTCAAGTGTAAGTACTTGCCTTCAAAAAGCAATGTGTTCTCACTTTTCATTCTTTTTTTTAAGTAATCAATTGCCGTGTCATTGGAAGAAGCATTATCAACTACTATAGAGAACACTTTGTCTATTCCCCACTCTCTCAAACAAATCTCAACCGCCTTGCCAATTTCTTCCCCAACATGACTACTAATTTTTGTAAAATTGATTATTCTTTTGTGCAACTTCCACTCACTATCTAAAAAGTGAGCAGTCACAACCATGTAGTTTATGTTCTGAATTGACGTCCAAGTATCGGTTGTGATACTTACTCTTTGACCACTGATCACACTTTTTATTTTTGTTTTCTCAACTAAAAACAAATCATACACCATGCTGGCAACCTTTTTACGGTCAGGAATTTTGAACCTAGGTTGTAGTTCATGCACAAAACTAACAAATCCCTTTCCTTCCACCGCCCGAAACGACATTTCATCAATAACTACATACTCAGTAAGTTTTAATTCACACCGTTTTTGATTAAAAGTATGAGGAATCAATGTGGATACCTGCCCCATCATCTCATTCGTGAGCACAGATTGACTCTTGTCAGCCCCCCCTTCATATAAAGGACTTTTTTTGCATCTCTTGACTAAATGATTCTTTAAACCACTAGTACTTCCCTGTCCAGCTGGAATCTCAACTTGACAGTGATTGCATATCCCTATACTTTGAATGCTCCCATCTGCCAACTTCCTTGAACCTTTGGCACAATGATTCCAATAAATACTCCTCGTTTTAGGTACTACAGGAGGCTTTTCTGACTCACGTGTTCGCTTCCGACTAGAAGTACCATTCTCTGTTTCAGATTCAAGCGTGGCCGGTGATTCAATTGGACTGGGCAGCGAGTGAGACGATTCAGATTCCATTAGCAATGCTGAAAATGTAACAAACATCATGTTAATCAATTCTGCCTTTGAAATATATGAAGTCACAGCACTTGAATCATATTCATTTTCTGTCTTTTAAAAACAAAAGTAAAGAAGCCTTAAAAACACCTAACTTTCCCACTCCAGCTCAGTTATCCATAGCAGAGTTTAGTTGAATGTGACTCAGTTAATAAAATTACAAACAAATGGGTCAATTAATAAAGTCACAACACCCTTTTCTATAGCCGGGTCAATCTCAGGGTGCTTGATTACACTGTAGGCAAACAGGGCATTCTTCAAATAACTGTCCCTCACAGTCATCTCGCTCACATTCAGCCCAACCTGCCAGTGACGTTAACAGACAAAATGGTTTGTTTGCCCAGCTAGATCTTTTATTTATTTATAATAATAATAATACAAAAATGTAGTAAAAATTAATAATACAAAATTGTCAAATTTAGTTGAGCAGAGGCTCAAAATATCTAACATTCTTTCATTTTTTATAGGAGAAGCATCTGTTCCTTGTATCTCATGTGGTGCTCTATGTGCTCTACGAACTGCCAATACTGCAAACAATAGGGGCAGAAAGTTTTATTCTTGCCAGTCCAGAGAGTGCAACTGGAAAGAAGATACAAAAGTTTTTAGATTTCTAGTACTCTCTGTATATGTACTTCAAAAGAAGATACAACTGGAAAAAAAATACATGTTTATTAGCTATAATAACGAATCACTTACTAAACAAACTCCTAAATTAAAAGTCAAATCCACAATGACTCTTCTTTAAAAATGACATTTTTACGGTTTAGGAATGCATTTGCTAAACGAAGTAAGTTAAGAGAATAAACACATTAATAATAGCAACTGGAAAGACATGCGAAACACTAACCCTTAGTTGACCAGACTTATGCGTCTTCGAAGTCTTCTGCCGTTCTTGAGTGCTCGTCAGTCGTCCACAGCTTCTTCTTCCACAGCCTCGTCGTTCGCAGCTTCGGTCACTTGGGAAGTTGGGACAACCGGATAAGCTAAACTGCTTGGTTAGGGATTTGGTCTCAATTTGATAGAATGAAGAAGACGTGTAGTATTACGATGAGTTTTTAAAAATTTGGGCCTTATAATTTACCAATTTCCTTTAATGGGTATGGAGTTATGGACTATGGAGTATGGACACCGTATGTACAGCCTAATAATTTACAAAATCTAATTCGGTATTTAGGTATATACCGTACCTTACCGAAAATTAACGGTATTTCGGTATATACCGAAATACCGAAAATTTAAGAACTGCATACCGTTACCGTACCGGAGTGACCCGGTATGGTATCATACCATACCGAATTTTTCGGTATACCGAAAAGTTCGGTAAATTCGGTATTTTTCGGTACGGTATAGCCGGTATACCGAAATTTCGGTATATTTTCCCACCCCTAGTCACACATAAACGGCATCGATCAGTGGTTTCCACAACGTCAACGAGTCTAGTCCATCCTGTGTGGGCCCTTCCTCATTAAGTTGCGGCTTTTATTAGTTTTGATATAAATGGAAAGAGAGGGGGGCCAAATTTTGGTAAATTTACATACTTACCCTACATTTTATTAGGTATGCCAAACACCCCTTATCTAATCCTCGTTTATATAACTCCGTACTTTCCACTTGTGTCACAAGGTGAGACCCGAGGAGCGTACTCCGTACATTTTGTACATTTGCTGAAAATCATGGTTTTTTAGATGAGCATTGTTGCACTTTTGATGAGCATCAAATATGTTCTTTGAGTATTATGAGCCTAGTGATGAGTATCACTGATCTCTGCTTCATACTCCCTTCATCCCCTAACTTTGTCCCGTTTTACTTTTTTCGTTCGTCCCATTATGTTTGTCTCATACCATATTTGGTAATATTTGAATGGTTACAATTCATTCTTACTTTATTTACACTTTATCAATTCAATATCAACCACACAATTCCACTTTTCTTAAAACTTGTGTCACACCCCTTTGTCTCCAACATAGTGGGACGGAGGTAGTATCTTCTAACTAAGTTTCTTTGATTTTTTTTGCGTTTATAAAAAAATCTTAAATTATGTTTATAATCAATTTCAAGTAATTTCAATATGTGAATCTAAGTTAGTATGATACGTTTGAAATTTGCAACATTTTAAAATGAGCATAAAGTAATACCCAATGAGAATACATAACTTACAAAATGAGTATAAAAAAAATCAAAAGTTCGTTTGTGTATGCTCATTCATTTTGGACGTCATACTCATTTGAGTTTAACATAAAACTCATTTCCAATGTGCTCAATATTCATTTGTGTGTATTCATTTCTTTTAGGCATATACTCATTTGAGTTTAATATAAAATTCATTTGAGATAAATAGTAGCAAGGATTCCTCAGTAACGAAGTAGACTCCCCCTATCTTCGAAAATCACAAACTCAAACATCAAAATTGTGTGAGAAAAAGAAAAAGAAGGGAAAGAAAGACGGGTGGAGAGATAACTACGTCGGAGCCACTGCATTTGTGCCAGAGGAGAAGGGACGAGTGATGAGAGGCGGTGACGAGCAGGGAGCTGAAGCGGGGGGGGGGGGGGGGGGGGGGGGGGTTGAACGTTCGCGACAGTGAGCCTGGTGCAAAGTCAGATCGAAGAAGCATGCGATATTGGAGAAGACTGGTGCGAAGCCAGATCGTATAAGCCTTGTGCAAAGGCCGGGTTGAAAAAGTGCAGCAACCCAGAAAAAGCCCAGCTATACCGTGCGCACGGTACAACCGGCTGTAGGATATATTTTACTAGAGCCCGTTTTCTAATTCTAGCTTTCGACCTATCACACATAAAAGTCAACTTTTCATCAAACACATCATATTTATTTCGCGCGCTGAATTGTGTAATAATTAGAAAAGGTGAGATTGCAGATACTTTTCTGACTGTATTGGTAGAAGTTATTGTACAAGACCATTTTAGCTATTTTATATATAATTTTTTCTTTATTTTATTAACTAAATATATTCATAAATTTCAGTAGAATCAACCAATTCAGCCTGAATTTCATAAATTTAAGCAGAATTAGCTGATTCAGCCGATTTTGGTATTACCAAACGGGCTCTCAATCTCCACTTCAAGAGTCTCACACTCTTACCCCCAGTAGAACATATGAAGAGATACTATCTATGTCCCGTTTTATGTGTCTTACTTTGAATTGGTTTGACACATTTATTAATAAAGTGGTTGAAAAAATAAAAGTTGTTGTTGCGATTTGAGTATAATAAAACGAAATGCTATAAATCACATATTTCTTTTCCAAAAAAATGTGACACTTACTCTGGGACAACCCGGGAAAAAAAAGTAAGACATGTAAAAAGAGACGGAAGGAATATTAGCTACACACAACGAGTTCCATCACTTTGAAAGTTTTATACTTTTATGAAAATAATTTGACAGGGAATATTTTTTTTATGTAATTTTCATATTCTAAATAATTTCTTACTAAAATGTATCATTGATCAAAGTTGATTGTCGTTAACTAAGAAAAGTCAATTTAGTGAATATTTTACTTTCGAGGGTGGACTTATCTACATATCTACTTAACAAAACGTCACTAAAATTATTGTAAAAAAATCTTTTACCGAAATTTGTTTTAGAAAAAACATTTTTTTAAGGTTTTGCAACTTCCAAGTAATTTCACAACAGAAAATCTGACAATAAAAGAAATTAGTTTGACAGTTGGATTTCAATTTGAACCATTAACTCCTACTCCCTCCGTTCCATTGGAATTTACCAACTTTTCCTTTTTTATTGTCCCAAAAAACTTTATTACTTCCATTAAAGTAACTTTTTTGTGGTTCTGCTCATTTCTCTCTCATCTGCACAAACTTCTACCACACAATTTTTACTATTATTATTTTTTACCTGATTCAAAGAGTCCAAAGTACATTAGGACAAATATAGTATGAATAATTGATTTGCAATAAAGGTTGGGCCTCGCGGCCAACTTTTTGTTGTCTTGGTTAGAAAGCCTTCCTACTTTTCTTACATTGCTGCGGACTCCATGGGCTTGGATTTCCACTCCACCATCTCACTTTTTTACTCACTCACCCAAATAATATCCCCCAATATATGTCTAGATTAAAGTAACATTTTTGGCTTCATTCTCCTTTTGAGAAAATATATGGGGCGTGCTAGCATATATATTCACTAAAAGCACGATAGCATGAAGAATAAATCTTAGCTATTTATCACGCCAGCATGTTCTTTAGTGAGCATGCAACATATTTTCTCTTGACAGTCAAGCTACAAATGATTAAGTAATTAAATGAACGTTTGAGTCAATGTCATAAGCTAATTTTTCAGTTGATGAACTTAACATTTATATCAAACACCGAACTTTTGATTATTTTATTCAATAATCAAATAAATATGATTAAAATTCTTTTATGGTTGAATTTTCTTAAAAGAGATAATTTAGTTCTCATCATGTAATTTATTTTCTATTTTATTAGTAAATTACATGTTAAGTGCAATTTTTTCATAATTCGATAGATTCAATTGTTACGGTGTATAAATCAGAAATTTATCGATTTCATGAGATTCAATCAATTAAGCCGATTGAAATTTTACCATACCAACCCTTTGTGTGTGGTATTTTAGTATCAAACTATAAGTACCCTTTGTGTGTGGTCAGGGGCGGATCTAGCATTGCCATTCAGGTGGGGCCAAATTTTAATTAAATAACGCGTATTGCAAAAAAAATGACAAAATGTAGTAAAATACTACCTCCGTCCCTTAAAAATTTGTCATGTTTGACCGGTACGGAGATTAATAAAATAAAAACTGTATGGTAGGGATTTGTGCAGAGGAGCGGGAATTAACCGTAACCACAAACTCTGTACTTAAAAGGGAAATTGGTAAAGTTAGATGGACATCCAAAAAATGAAAGTTGACAAAGTTTTAAGTGGCGGAGGGAGTAGTAAAATAAAATATGTTGCAACTTCTATGTCAAAGAAAAATAAATATAATAGGTGTGTGACATAGAGATTTTAGAAGAAAAATGAAATCTTCACTCTTTACCATTCTAAAGTAAAAAATATCATGCTCTACTTGATCTTTGAACTTGGGGCGTCAAAGTAATCATATGGATCTCCTTCCATCTTGCTAACATGACATTTGTGTTCAAATTGACATTCCTTGTAATTATATCATTACTTAGCAACAATATATATAATATAGCACCTATATATACTAGTAATTTTATTTTTTTTTTAGTGTGGGCCTAGGCCCGCCCTGGCCTAGGCCCAGATCCGCCCCTGTGTGTGGTATATCAGTATCAAACTATAAGTATATTATGATTGTCTAATGGTATCTAACGGCACGTTTTGTTGGAACAACCTGTGCTACATATGTACACAGATAATAAGCTTGTGTATACAAAATGTGTACAAATTTTGTGCACCAGTAACTCTTTTCTGGTTGGAATCCTTGTATACCATAGTTGGTTGAATTACATCCCAATTCAAACTCCAAAGGAATTGCGGATTAAACACGTAAGATATATCATTCATACTCGGTCCTTACGCATCGGCCAACTTACAACTGAACCGATTGGGCCATTTATCATATGTGATGACAAAACTTTGGGAGGCAGATTCGCCCATGGGCTTAGCTTTCACACTAATTAATCATAATCAGGGGCGTAGACAGGGGTGGCCATCCCTGGCCATGGCCCAGCCCAAATTTAAAAAATGTCTAAATTTTTAGGGTAAAAAATTCCGTGTAAAATTTTTTCCAAAAATATTCTTTGTACTGGCCCAGTCCGGCCCAGTGTCCTGGCTCCGCCCCTGATCATAATCATATATACTGTTAAGAATTCGTGA